CAAATGTTGTATATGCACTATAAATATGGGAAAATTCCCGATTTGTACCCTATAGTTTGGGTTTAGTGCCACTTTGGTCCCCAAACTTTAAAATGCGACAATTTAGTACCCAAACTTTTAAAACATGCCAATCTAGTACTTGACGTTAACCAACTATTAAGTGGCATTTGAAAAGACACAAATTCCCTTTGAGTGTCATCTAATTCTCTTTACCAACCATCTAAATTTTGATAAAAAATGAAAAAATCCCAAATCCTTGCCTTTTATTCAAAAAAGTTGGGGTTACATCTTATTGGGCATTCTGGTGACCCCAACTTTCTTGAATAGAAGAGGCAAGGATTTGGGACTGTTCATTTTTTATCAACGTTGGGTTGGTTGATAAAGAAAATTAGATGACACTTGAAGGGTATTTGTGTCTTTTTGAATGCCACTTAACGGCTGGTTAATGGGCTGGTTAACGAAAGGTAGTGGATTGGCATGTTTTGAAAGTTTGGGTACTGAATTGTTGCATTTTAAAGTTCAGGGACCAAAGTGGCACTAGCCCCAAAGTACATGGTACTAATAAGGAATTTTCCTTATAAACATTTGTGTTTGATTCTTCCCTAATTGAGCCTAAGAGTTACAACTCAGTGCTACTAACTTTTTTAATTTTTTGGGGAAATTCCTAATTAGTACCCTGTACTTTGGGCCTAATGCCACTTTGGTCCCCAAACTTTAAAATGTGACTATTCAGTACTCGAACTTTCAAAATGTGCCAATTTAGTACCTACCATTAATCAACCGTTAAGTAGCAATTGAAAAGACATGTATGCCCTTCAAGTGTTGATGTAGCGCGATCTGGTCGCTCTCTACTAGAAGGCAGCTTGAACGTTGGACTACTACGTGGCCAGGTCAAACTGCAAGGATGAAGAATCAGAGGTCCGGGGTACTTTACCCGGTGTGGGAACTCTGATGCTTAAGTTAGCATAAGAGATTGTGGAGAGCTGTTAGCTTAGAATGTAATAGCAAGTGAGATCTAAATTGTGCATACCTTGTGAGGATGCAGGCGATGCCTTTATATAGGCGAGTTGTCGTGGGCCTCAGAAATGTGTTTGAGATCACCGGCCCGTTTAACATGGAGTCCGTTCCGCACCCAAAGATGAACTCCGTGTAAGCCGATAAGGCTTATCCAGGTCCGTTCGATTCGGGCGGGATAGAGATAGGATCCATTGGCGTGCGACGTGGTCTCGAGGAGATCAGAGACAGCTGGCTTGCTTCTAAAAGGAGGCTACGAGGCACCTTGGTGAATATGACGAGCTGCTCAGGCCCCGGTGTTAGCCAAGTGACCTGAGGTGCCCAAGGTGACTTGGACTGCTGAGATGTAACTAAGTCTCTGGGTCGCTCCACGTGTCATCATGTCATTGGTCGGGCCAAATTATCGCTCATCAAGTGTCATCTGATTTTGTTTATCAACCATACAAGTGTTGACAAAAAATGAACATTCACAAATCCTTGCATCTTCTATTCAAGAATGTTGGGGTCACCAAAATGCCCACTAAGACGTAATCCCAACTTTCTTGAATATATATAAGAGGCAAGGATTTGTGACTGTTCATTTGTTCATTTTTTGCAATGTTTGGATGGTTGATAAACAAAATTAGATGACACTTGAAGGACATTTGTGTTTTCAAATGCCACTTAATGACTGGTTAATGGGATGGTTAATGGTAGGTGCTAAATTGGCATATTTTGAAAGTTTGGGTACTGAATTGTCACATTTTAAAGTTTGGGAGACCAAAGTGGCAATAAACCCAAAGTACAAGGTACTAATCGAGAATTTCCCAAAACAAATAAAAAAGTTAGTAGTAGGGGAGAGGATATTTATTAAATCTATTATAATTAATAGATTTAATTTTGTAAAAATATAGAATTATCAATAATATGAATGTTATTGATAATTCTGTTATAATTTTGAATAAATATTTTAAATTTAGTATATAATTTTGTTACAATATTTAAATAATTCTAAAGTTTTTTAATTGAAGTTTTTTTTAGATAGATATAGATAAAAAGTGGGGGTGATGATAAATTGGAATTAGAGATAGTTTTGGAGAGAACCTCTCTACTAAGGTGGCGTTTGATGGCAATTTTCAGATGTCTGAATCTGAAAAAATTGCTTTTCAGACGCCACCAAGCATTTGATATGCCCTCTTATTAGAGATCTGAAATTGGATTTCAGATCTTAATTTCTAAGAGATAGAGCGGCTGCTTAATGGTTCAGACGTAAATCAAAGGTATATAAAAGACATAAATGCCCTTAAAAAATTAATATTACATGCGTTTATCCTTCCTGTAACTCGAATCTAACCTGCACTCTCTCTGTCTCTCTCTGTCTCTCCTGCTCTCTCAATGCGAGTCTACAACCTAACGAAGCTCCACCGCTGTTGCACTCTCTCTGTCTCTCTCTCATGTATTCCCGCCACCGCCACTGCAACTTGCAACGACGGCGGTTCCTTCTCTCTCTCTCCTGCCTTCCCGTCACCGCCGCTACAAGTTGCAGAAGCTTGTAGTGGCGGCGGTTCTCTCTCTCTCTCTCTCTCACCCCCTCCCCTGCCTTCTCGTCACCGCTGCTGCAACTTGCAGCGGCGATGGTTCCTTCTCTCTCGCTCTCTCTCTCTCTCTCCCCCCTGTTTTTCCGTCACCGCCCCCTGCAATTGCAGCGGCGGCGGTTCATTCTCTCTCTCTCTTTGTTTTCTCTCCTCTATTATTAAATTCCCTTTCTCTTGGTAACGTTCTCATCCCTAACCCAGTCTCTCCCGCTGATGCAACAAATTGCAGCAGCAGCCACCTTTTAGATCTGTACTTTTCTCAGTCTTTGGCGAAACCTACACCCGGAGGATTGTGTCTTATCTCCCAGCTCTCGGTTGCAATCGTTAGACACCATTGTCGCTCAAAGAAGTCATTCTCAGAACACAAACAATCAAAGCAAATTGAGCTCTTCCCTACAACAATGAATGAATGAATTTAGGCCTAAATCTCTTCAGAACGATCGGAACCTAAGGGAGACGAAGAGCCGACAAAGCATCAACCAGCTTCTCTGAATTCTCATCGTCAATCCATGTCTGTAAACATTTCTTTGTTGGTTATTTAGAAATCGAATAGGCCTTTCCTGGTTTTAACGATTGTTATCTTTCATGGTTTTCCTGGTTTTATTGTTCATTTTGTTTATTCTTTTTATTGAAGTTTAAAATTAGTTGAATAGAAAGGTTAGAAAGTTTCTAATTCTCTGCATATCATTCTCCTTCTATCAGCTGTTGGATTGAACTTTTATATGCTATATTAGTCATGGTGACGACTGGTACTAGCATCTGAGTTACTCTAATGTTAATCTAAATTAGTCTGATATTTTAGTATCAGGTTAGCTTTAGTTTTGTGATTTGAATCGAGTAGCTACTAGTTTTGGCTTAGTGAGATTATTGGCTATTTGATAACAATGAATTGCAATTTCAGAGAGCCTCCCGTTTGCGGGAGTTCACCCACTATGAATGATCCGACTACCGAGTTTGGACGAGGGGGCAAAGTGGTCCAATTAATAATTAATTATTTCATTAATTTTTAAACATTATTTTAATTTTTATTTGTATAAATTATTAATTATTAATTATTTTAATATTTTTATAGTCATTAGTTATTTTTTTTTTAATTTTAATCGTTTCATTTAATAATTAGTAATTTTTAATTATTAATTTATTATTTATTATTTGTATTGTTTCAATATTATTTTGAGGTTGAAAATTATTTTTTTATGAGATAATACAAATTGAATTCAACATTTCAAAATAGTATGTTTTAGGGGTAAAATAGTAGAATCAGTGAATTTCAAATGGTAAATGGTTGATCGAACACAAGCAAACTTATGGATTCAGAGCCTCTAAAAAGCAGAAAAGCATCTATGCCTCTTTTCAGATTTCAGACACTTTTAATATCTTTTTAACTTTTCAGACTTCAGATTTCAGATTTATCAAACACCACCTAAATTAGAGATAATTTAAGAGATAAATAGGAGTTAGAGATAATTTAGGAGATAAATAGGAATTAGAGTCAATTTAGGAGAAAGTGGTGCCCCATGGCTAAACATTAGAAAAGCAAATCCCTCTTTCTTTATGGTTGTTAGAAATAGTTAAGCCTATGTGATTTTCTTATTGGCTTAATGGGTAATTATGTCGAATTAAAAAAATAAAAAAATCAAAAATAGGAAATTAGGAAGGGGGATTTGGTGCAAAGAGAGGCATGGTGACGTGAACTTGCTATATATATATATATTGTGCTCTTTCCAAATTGAGCTAAAAGAGTACAGTACAAATACAAATATATATAATACAAAAATACAAGATTTTGCACTACATATTTTTATTTGCGCTCTTTCCAAACTGAGCCTAAAAAGGCAAAGCATTTAGTCATTTAGTTCAGCCAAATCAGTTGTTATAATACAAATATATACCATACAAATATAAGATTTATGAATACAACATAATACAGATTACAATATTTTTTTCCCTGCGTCTAGTTTGAACAGACTACAAGATTTCATACTACACATATTTATATTTATACTCTTCCGAAACGAGAAAAGACAAAACATTAAATCATTCAGTTCAGCCATTTCAACTGTTATCAAAAACCTGACAGGAAAATATATGTACCAATTAGGATAGGATTCAGATCTAGTTGTAAAAGAAATTCTAATTAATCCCTGTATTTTAGCCAATTGGTTAGGTAATTTGCTAGAAATGCCATCTAGATGAGATTCTCTTATCTGCACGGAGATATGGTTCTGCTTAGATTCGTGCTATTCTGAACTTCGACCAAACTGAATAACGGATTTATACATAGAACCGGACTAGAGGGACCGGATCCCACTTTAAGAGAACGGTTTCACCCAATATCAGCTTATCAGATGCCTTTTAATTGCAATAAATCCTTATATACATACGTGGCGTCACATGGGCCCACATAAATCCCCACAGTAGAACCAAAACGGTAAATGATCTGACACGTGGCAAATTATAATCCGGGGCGGTTCTACAACCGGGTCATTGGGCATGGGTGATGCCGTGATGGGACCAAGCTTTGCCGGAGAATCTAGACATCTACTACTGTAAAGTGTAAACAAGGGAGAGAGGAAAAATCACTTCACGCCTTCACGGGCTTCATAAATTTCGGCCCACGCGAATATTCTCGCGTCACCTCTGACCTCCCGTCTCTTGCGGATAAGTCGAAACGCGTCCCTTTTGTGGGGCCTAGACCACTCATGCGGTCGACGTGGCACGTGGGCTGCCGAATATTCTGTGCCAAAATTGCCGGCGAATCTTCCACGCTGGCTTCCACGTGGCTCATCCTCGCCTTCCCTGTTACGCACCCAACACTCATTCGCTGATTGAATAATCTTTCTCGGAATTTCTTCTCTGTTCTCTGCTTTTATCTCTTTAACCCTTCCATGTTCTTATTTCGCGAATCTTGGCCCCTTTTTTCTTTTTCTAATTTTTTTCCTCTCTTCATCTCGTTGTCCGTTAAAGTTAAAGCTCTATCTCATCTCTGTAGTCTCTTCTTTAAGTCTTGATCGGAGCCTCTCTCTATCTTGCTTTCTCTGAACTCTTCGTTTTGTTCGTGTTAAAGATCATTATCCGATCAAACAGCAGTTCAAATTGAGAAACATTTCAAAGTCATCAGTGCATTATCAGGATTTCTTCACCAAATCTTCTCCTTTTGCATCAAAATCTTCATCCAAACAGTTCGACCAAAAGGATCTAGCTATTTTGATTCCAAGAGGTGGACCAGGTGGTAGCTTTTGTTACAGAGACAAGAACGCATCTGCTTTACGGCTTCCTCAGACAAATCAACAGCTTCTTCTGTACAAAAAAAAAAAAATCCCTCTATCTGGCTCTGCACTTTCATCTTTTGATGCATTATCCATTGAAGGCGAGACTTGTTGACAAAGAATGAGAATTCGAATCGGGGACTTTTCGCGGTACGAACACAATAAGGTGGACCCGAACTTTTGGTTGCTTTTGCTTTTCGACATTCTCTAACGAATTTCTCTTTTCTCACTGTTATAAGGCAAATGGAGAGCGAGAGTTACATTAAGGAAAGCAAAAGGCGTATGACTTATGAAGAAGTGGAATAAGCTTTTTAAACAAGGACGGAAATCGGAAAAATCCAACGTATTTCCTGAATAGTTCCTATCCAGGGAAATCAAATTTCCGGCTTTGGAGCGACTGTGGTGGCGCCGACGGAGACGGCAGCGGTGGCGGAAGTGGTGGTGATGAGATGGAGAGGACCTGTGGGAGCTATGCGTTGGAGACGGGAATGGTTCTGTCCCGGGATCCTAAACCCCGGCTGAGGTGGACGCCAGATCTTCACGACCGGTTTGTTGATGCCGTGACAAAGCTAGGTGGACCCGACAGTATGTTATTTCTTGTTCTGAGCTTCAATTAACTATCCATTTCTAGTTAATATGAATGATAATTCGAGTAAATGGATGAATTGATTGTGTACAGAAGCAACACCCAAGTCAGTGCTGAGGGTGATGGGCCTAAAAGGATTGACATTGTACCATTTGAAGAGCCATTTACAGGTAGACTCGTGTTCTCTTGCTTTACTTTTAATTCTTTGTTAATTTACAAGGCAAAGAAGAAGAAGATATTGATCTATGAGACCGACTCTGACTCTGACTCTGAGGTCGACTGGATTGGACAAATGAATTGGTGTTGGTGGCTTCTATCAATATCCCAGTCCAACAAGTGTCAGAGTTGGAATGTTGGAATGGGGCCGTCTCACACAGAGCTAGGCTTGTGAATTTCGACCCTGTCTCTGGCTGGCATTCCTCTCTGACTCTGAGCGTCTAGAGCTCTATCATCTATGGTCTAGGGTCACATGACCATAGATGGATCTGAGGCTTGGATGACCTTTCACGTGTTCTCTGTATCAGGGTCCAATTTAAATGGGTCCCATCTAAGACATTGTTTCACAAAAGATGAGTCTGATCAGATGATTTCTGGCCACTTGATTTGGATGTTATGTTGTTTTTGGGAAATTTGCCTGTTAAGTACGAAACATGAGAAACAGGTAAGACAAAAGGTACAAAATTGAGATTTATGGAACGCCGGTTGTTTCAAATTTTGATGATGCAAATGGCCAAGGGTAGTAAATTGGGAACATTCTTTCCGGTTTTAAACCAGGCAAACGGACCCTTACTTTTAAGAGATGAAAGTACCCCCAATGACATAGTGGATTGATTTTCATCCCCAAAGGGTACCTGTTGGGCTGGGCTAACAACCAAGCCCAGTTGCCTTGTCTCCAGTCCATTTTTTAACGGATCTATGTCTGGTTTTTTGGTGGGTGCAGAAGTATAGACTTGGAAAGCAATCGAAGAAAGGAACCAATATAGAGCAGGCTAAGAGCGAAGAACTAAGCGTGGACAGTGTTGGTGAGTAACCGCACTTTTGCAACCCTAATGCTGTGTTTGGCTTATAGAAAATAAGAGAGAAATATAGAGTTATGGAAAACATGGTTTTTAAAAACGAACCGGTGATTGAACCGGTCAGGGGTTCGGTTATCAGTTCGAACGGTCCGATCGTTCGACCTGAATGGCTGGCCCATTTTGACAAAAAATAAAAAAAATTAAAAAATTAGAAAACGGTCAAAATCGTTCAAATGGTTCAAATAGTTAATCGGCCGATTCAACAGTTTACTGACCAAAATCAACGGTTTTGGGGAAAAAGCGGTTTTGGAGAAAAACGAAACCGGTCAGATGACTGATTCCTAATTTTTCCGATCCAACCGTCCGGTCCGGTCCGGTCCGGTTTTGAAAACAGTAATGAAAAAGTTGTTAAAGAATCTCACAAAATGTTCCCTCAACTCTCTCTTTCTCTATTTTTTTTTTGTCAAACCAAACACAGCCTACAAGGATCAACTTTTTTCCCTCACTATTTCTGTGAGAACCTACTCGAGCATAGATTCCCACTTAGGTGGACCATGTAAATATTACATCACCACTACGATTTTGATTTCTGTGAGGGGTCACCGAAACTCAGCTAATGGCCAGTAAACCTGCCACCCAAACCCAAGCAATGTTCAAAGGATTGATACATCCGATACAAAGCGGTCAGGAACTCAGGATCCTAGTAAAAGACTAAGGGCCTGTGTGGTTTGTGGGGATAGAGGTATGGAATCAGAATAGGAATGGATCATTCTGATTTTAACTGTTCCGTTAGGTGAAATCAAAATCTCATTTACATTTCTATTAGAATGATATTCCCCCATTTGAGGGAATGGCCATTCCCTCCCACTCCTTTGAGAATGAAATTTCATTTCAATTTATTTTAACTCTCATTCTGAAATCTGTCTGAACTAAAAAGATTATAATAATGGGTCATTTCACTTCCAAATTCAAGGAATTTTGATTTTGACTCTAATTCTAATTCTGACACAAACGAAATGAATCCTAAAGACCTTGAAAGTCCAATATAATATACAAAAGGGAAAATTCCTGATTAGTACCTTGTACCTTGTTGAGTGATAATTTGGTCCTCGAACTTTAAAATGCGACAATCTAGTATCCTAACTTCCGAAACACGACAATTTAGTACATGTCGTTAATCAACCGTTAAGTGACATGTGAAAAGACACAAATGCCCTTCAAGTGTTATATAATTTTCTTTATCAACCATCTACTAAAATCAGAACCAACCCTCAAATTTTTCATCCTTGCGACAACATTTTTGTCTTTCTTCTCCTCTGAATATTCTGTCATCTTCGGACTAAAACCAAAGCAATTTCTAGGAGAAAAATTTTCCTTTAACTACTGTAATTATCTTATCTGAAAATTGGAAAAAGAGAAAAGTCTCCGGCCACCATCACTGATCTCTCTCTCTCTCTCAAGTATTGAGACAAAGCTTCCAATTCTTCTCCTATCTTTAACCTATAGGAATAAAATATTACTATGTTAAAAAAAAAATAAAAGTAAGTTGTGTAAAACTTGGAATTTTTTGTTCTTGGCAAAGACTTGTAACGACTTTGCGAGAAAGGCAAGCCATTGCAAGTGTTTGTGACAGAAAGCTTGGACTCTATTGCAAGGGTTTTGGTGTTTGTGATAGAGAGCTTGGGCTTTGTTTCATCTTTTTGAGGAAGAAGATGATGAACAGTGTGTTTTATTTTCAAGGGTAGTTTTAAGATTTTCAAGTCTTAAATCACACATGAGGTCACGTGATATACATAACTGATGGCAGGTACTAAATATTGTCGTGTTTCAAAAATTCGATACTAAATTATCACATTTTAAAGTTCAGGGCCAAATTTTCACTCGAACCAAAATACAGAATACTGATCCGAAATTTTCCCTATACAAAATTTTGAACCTTGAACCGAATAACGAATTCTAAACTAAACTGAGAAGAAACTTCCGGCAGGTTAGCTTAAGGTTTAACGCATGATTTTGTGATGGTTTTCCATAAAGCAAAAGCTCGTGATGTTTGTATTGTAGAACTAGCTAGCCTGGTTGCCAGTTAGGCTTGATGGCGAAGCAGGACGCGGTTGCATCTCGCATGTCTTGCGTATACGTAAAAAAGATAACTTAGAAAGAACACGAGTAGAAGCCCAAGTTGGGGGAATTTGAGATGGAATGACTTGGTGCTTTGTACTGTTATGTATTGACCTCATCTGCGATGGCTTTTCTAAATTCCAACCACTGCAAAAAGAAAAGAAACCAAAAGATAAAAAGAAATAGAGAATATTCTTTTCGTGTCTGAGGGAGAAATGAAGAAACTTGGCGGATTCTGCTGGCCGGTGTACCGGACAGCCCTCTTTTAGAAAGGATAAAAGAGGGCTGGGATCCTATAAAAGCGTTTGGTAATTAAATTCCAACTAATCTTTCAAAAGAGAATAAAAAAAAAGTTTCGAAAATGGTTCTAAGCTTGGAAGTTTCTTAAATCTTTGAATGCGGTGAAGGTGTTTAGATATCTAAATACTGTGATTTTTGAGAAATACAAATACTTTGTTTTTTAGTTTTACCCTTTGAATACAATACATATGATAATTATCTTTTTGTTTAATTCTCTATAATATCATAATAATAATAATATAATAATAATACCATACAGACTAATATTATAATAAAATACAAAAACAATATTATCATATAAATATAATGTATTTATTATATAACACAAAAATATAATGTATTTATAGCATATAAAGAATCATATTCTATGTTAGGTTGAATTTTCCAACCTTACCCTAAAATAATCTTGAACAAATCCTTACTCAATCCAACCTTTTTCTTTTTGCCCGGCCCAAGTTGCATCTGTACCTATTTTTACCGCTGTGTGGAGGGAAGTAATATGAAAAATGTTCAAGTGTGAAAACTAGAGTACTAGATCTTCTCTCTTCTCTTCTAACAAGTATTCTTTACTAACTGACATTGCTTTATGGATATAGGAGACTCTGGTTATAACCACATGCATTTTTCGGCGACAAGCAGCAGCACTTCTAAAGAGAACAGTGAAAGGTATGTATCCTCCCTGTGGAAGTTCATTTGCACTCCTACAAGTGCAAGACCATCACAGTGCGGGGTGTTGGGCCTCCTACACTTGTTTTACACTTCTCTTCTAACTTCCATTCGGTGTGTAACAGATGTCCCATCACATGTGTATTCTTATATGAATAAGGATTTCTACACTGTAAGGGAACACTTGTCATAAACTGAATGGAAGTAGGGGTGTCAATGGATCGATTTTGTATTGGATCCCATCCAAACTAAAATTAATTTGAACGGATTGAACAGACCAATAAAACATTGAATTGGACCAATCCAGACTTAATGGTCTAAAGTATTTATTGGATTGGATTGGACTTGATCCATTTATAATCTACTCACATTGGACTGTATTGGATTGGACCAAATCCAGTCTAATTGATAGCCCTAAATGCAAGAAGTGTGGGATAAAGTTTGCTTTTATAACTCCCAACAAGAAAAACAGTTCAAATTGAACACCCAGTAAGGGAATGCTTTTGTTTTCTAAAGCAAAAATGTTTTTACTGACATGTCAATTGTTTTTGTTTTAGAAAACAAAATCATACATATTTGTTTTTAGAAAACAAAGCCATTCACATTGGAGAACACCCCCTAAATGTGAAATCGAGCGACTAGATTTTCTCTCCATGTTTGTTTGGGGCATCTTATATTCTTATTTACCAGGTAAGACCAACGCTCAGAAACATAAACAGCATGTAGCAACTAGCAAGTTACAGAACAGGTGTCGGCCAGTCAGCTGTCCTGGTCACTGGCTCCACTGCTGGGGTCAAAAGAACAATAGAACCAACTTTTTTTTTCATAGGCTGGTGAATTATTTCAGATTCACTTCTTGTGATGCTACAATTACAGAAAAATAAAAATAAATTGAATACATAAATAATTAATATCCTTTCTTCTATAACAGAGGAATACCAATAGCAGAGGCATTAAGGTATCAGATTGAGGTGCAGAGAAGACTGCAAGAGCAACTTGAGGTAGGCAACTATTGGATTTTGATTTTCTGTAATACTCAATCTTTCTTAAACAACTCACCCCTACAATCTCCACAAAATTTCATGCAGGTGCAGAAGAAACTACAGATAAGAATTGAAGCACAAGGGAAGTATTTACAAGCCATATTAGAGAAAGCCCAGAAGAGCCTTTCCACTGATACGAAATGCCCAAGGAGTTTAGAAGCCACAAGAGCCCAACTGACTGACTTCAATTTAGCACTTTCAGGTCTCATGGAGAACATGAACCAAGTGAGGGAAGATGAGAGCAAAGGTGAAATGATAGGGAAGAGTTTATTGAATGATAACCAGGAGAACAATCACAGTTCAGGTTTCCAGCTTTACCGGGAGTTAGAAGAAGCAAAGAAGAAAGAAATTAAGATCAAGGTTGAGGAGAGCTCCTTACTTTTTGATCTGAATGTTAAAGGTGGCTATGATTTCCTTGGGCCCAAGGGAAGCGAGTTAGACCCCAATATGAATATACAGAGGATATAAAGATTTTATATGGAGATGATCTACTTGAAGGCTTAACGCACTCTAGAAAGTTCTATCCTGACCAGTCTTCTAAGTTTTGTGTAATTCTGTATAATTTAGACTTGAATGTCAGAAAGTATTCTATTTTGCCAAAATGGGTAGTTAAGCATGGCCCTCCTAAATATTGATTTTGAGCCATCCAGTCCTTAAGCTAGGTAAAGAAGTAATGTCTACAAGGAATCCTCTTTGATGAGCTGTTGGCTGAAATTATTAAAACTAAAGTCAAGGAAAAAGGGGCAAAAATTTGGATGACTAGAGATGTACTGAACATCCCACAATAAAGCACAATGTATTGGGTATTTAGTCTACTAAGGATTTGACTACTATTTACTCATATGTTGGCTTTTAATGTCACTAAATTTACAAAATAATATAACTTAAGCCTTTTATGAATGGTGATTAATACAGGATTGATATGCACACGCAAAGCTCTTATATTTAACCATTATGCATAGATATGCGCATGCAAAGCTCTAATATTGACCATCGTGCATCCATTCGCTTCAACTTCAGCCATGCAATGAACTATAACAAAGAAAGAACCAAGGAAACTAGAAAAGATAAGCATGGTTTTCAAAACCGGACTGCCCGGAAAAATCAGAAATCGGTCACTATTTTCTCCCAAAAGCGCTTTTTTTCTCCAAAACTGTTGATTTTTGTCAGTAAACCGTTGAATCGGTCAGTTAACCGTTTGAACCGTTTTGACCGTTTTTCAAAATTTTTAATTAATTTATTTTTTGTCAGAACGGGCCGATCATTCGGATCGAATGGTTAGACCACTTGAACTGGTAATTGGACCCCTGACCGGTTTGGTTTTAAAAACCATGAAGATAGGCATGAGAGAAGAGAACGATTTTATATGGTTGGTTCTAGGCTTCTAGTCTTTAAGAGTGATCATTTTCAGCCTGGTCTAGAGATTTTAGGTTTGGGCATAAGTTTTGTGTTCAGGCTAGGTTTGAGTCCAGGCCCACATCAGACTCAATAAATTTCTGAGCTGGGATGAAAATAAATAAAACACACACATATATATATATATTATATTTAATAATTAATAAATAAAAATCATTGCCACGAAATCCAGCTAGACTGGGCTTATGTCCGAGCTGTAGCTCTTACCCCAGTCCAGGATTAAAAAAACGAGGCACACTCCTTAATTATGAGAATTAATATAGAATGACACAAGAAGGTTATGTATGGTACTATGGTGCAGTTCAAGTAAAAAATAAAAAATGTGAACTAATGGTTTTCAATTCCAAAACCATAATGAAAATTATGAAAGCCAAATGTCAGTAACATTTTACTTGATGAAAAAGAACCAATAGTGGGTTTATCATGAATTTCTACAAAATTTCTCAGTAAAACATTGGAAACTTGATTTTCCCACACATTTGGCTCAACAAATCGAACACAGGACACCCAAGTGAGAGAATAAATTTTCTGTTTTTATCCCATTCTCATCCCCTCTCATATCGTTTTTTTTTTTGGAAATCAGACAGTAAAGATGACAATTTGACCCGTCTCCATGAGGCCCTACATCGATCGGGGGATTCTTTTGACCAGCTGATCGGGGTCTGGGGCGGGTTCAGGGATAACTCGAAATTCTGGGGTCGGGGATGGGGCAGGGATGATATTATAATATCATATATTATATAATATAAAATAGTTTTAAGTAGATTTAAAAAAAATAAAATAATAAATATACAAATAAGAATAACTAGGGTAAAGTGGAGCAAAATTAGGAATCCCTGATCCCCATAGCAACAGGGATGGGGTTAGGATTTTTATCTCCGCTGGGGTTTGAGGCGAAGAATTTGAATTCGGGGTTGGGTACGGGCAGGCAAAACCCGACCTTGCTCCTGCCTCGTTATCATTCCTTACAGACCGTAATGAAAATTATGGGAGCCGAGTATCAACTCCAAAGAATGATATGTGTTCGTAAGGGTGTCAATTTGGACCGACCCCATCCAGTCCAAAATCAATTTGGATGAATTGGACGGACCAATAAGGCATATTGGATTGAACCAATTCTATCCAAAATATTTATTAGATTGGACTGGACCTGGTCCATCTATAATAAATTTATATTGGATTCAGTTGAATTAAGCCAATATCCAATCTATTGATCTAAGAGAATATAGGTGTCAATGGACTGGGTTTGGGTTGAAATTAATCTAAATTAAAACGAATTTAAACAAATTAAACGGTTTAAACATTAAATTGGATCGGTCTAAAATGGTCCAAAATATTTATTGGATTGGACCTGATCCATTTATAATGGGTACAATTGACACCCCTACGTGTCCATCAGTTGAGTGGTTCAAAGGACGCTACGAACGCCTGCGTCCTTGATTTGTGGAGCTGAAAGAAGCTCGTCTTGTGGGCCTCGACTGGCGTGTGCCTGGCTAGTTGCCATCCTCTCCGCCACTAAAAGGTTATCTCGTCTCGCATTCCTGTCCACGAGCTAAATCCAACACTTTTGATCACCAACTTCTTTTACTTCATCTCTCCCCTGCAAATCATGCATCCTCATTCAGTCGTTCATTCGGTCATTCTTCTCATCAAAGATCAATCAAGAAGATGTCGTCGGCTGTGGCTGCAGCTGCTTCCTCTTCTTGCTCCACATTAACCAGAAATCATTCTCTTCAACCCACCACCACAACTCCTCCGAAATCACTCACACCTGTTCACAACCAGGTACGTTATTGAAATTGAAATCAAAATTAAGAAAAAAAAAAAAATGAAAACCCACTAAAGAAAAACCACTGATTTCTCTGCTTATCTCCGTTATCTTGTTTAGAAAACCTCCTTTCAAGGTCTCTCACTTCCCGATGCTAAAAGGGGTCTGCCAAATTCTTTCATAGCAGAGAAGAAGAGGAGCGGTTTTAAGCTCAGAAGAAGAAATCTCGAAATCACAGCAAGGACTGCTGGTGCTGCAAAGAACATTGAAGTTGAAGTCGACAAGCCTTTAGGTCTCACTTTAGGCCAAAAACAAGGTGGTGGAGTTGTCATCACTGTGAGTTTTCTCTTCTTTATTTTTTCTTAAATTTCTTCTTCTTTTTGCTTTTCGATCATAAAATTACAACTCCAACGAGGGCATTTTTCGGGGATGCAATTTTGAATCTTGGGTTGTTTTGGGCAATGAAACCATTTTTCTGTTAGGGTGTGGAGAGTGGCGGGAACGCTGCAAAGGCAGGGCTCAAGGTAGGGGATCAGGTACTATACACAAGCAGCTTCTTCGGGGACGAACTTTGGCCCGCAGATAAACTTGGATTCACCAAAACTGCCATTCAAGCAAAGCCTGATTCTGTCTACTTTGTAGTTAGCAGGTCCTCCCTTCTCCTCTTTTCAAATGACTAGCATTGTCAAAAGGGTCTATGGACATTATATATATTGGGTTTCAGTTGATCTTTTTACTCTCTGCAGTTAGTGCAACGTGTAAAGAATCTTGAATATTACTGCATTTTGTCCTCTTTTCTAGACATTGATTAAGTTCATCAATTTTAGTTCCCCAAAAAGGTATCGGTTGAGAATTTCTGTATTAGGTGGAGTTCTGACCTGACTCGACCTGGCTTAAGATAGTCAATAGCTATAAAACCAGCTTGACATACGCACTGTTTCCACTCCTGGGTTTGACATTTCTCTGTGCAATCAACACATCTCTCCATTTGGTGGCAATTAACAACTGGAACTTGATATTTACTAGCCTGATCATTGGTATCCCTAGGTAATTTTTCTTGTGCAATGAGAAGTACCGCATGCAACATAGATTTTTTGATAAATCCACAAGCAACATAGCTTTTTTGACTAATTGTTTGGACACATTATGATCTCTCATTTGAGCCAGAGGCTGTACGTGCCAAATTTCTTATTTTTTATTTCATTCTCCATTTTTTTTCATTAGTATGCCATTTCTCTTTTTGTTAGCTATTTTTGTAAAGCATGTAGCATTTAAAATCATAACACTTCTCCAAGGACATGGTTGTGAGGTTTTGAATGGGGAGCCATGGTATATTTGAATTTATAATGCTGGAGGCTGGAGCTGAAATTCAAGAGAAATCATGGAGGTGGAGGTGGTCATATGTTTAAGTTTCAGTCTTTTGGAAATTTACTATTCTTGGTCAATTCAACTCAGCCTTAACCTCAACTACTTGTAGCTGGTTAGATGAATCCTGTATGCCATTGTGCTCAATCAAGAGCCATGTCTTCTCTCCAAGTCTTCAAAACATTTTTACCACTTCTTAGTACAAGTATATAGTAAAAATCTTAATTATCATTAGCTTGTAGCTATTTCATGTTGCACCTTGTTCTGCAATGTTGCACCTATAACTGGTTTTGTCCCCTATCTAAACACCTTCAAAGCTTTTACTTTTTTTCTTCATCTTAAGCCTAGAAATTCCTTTCCTGGACATACTAGAAACATCCTAAATTAATTCTCAAGCATTCTCTATCATATAATCTATATATTTCATTTCTTCTTATCTATTCTGCCTATGACAGATTTGTAGGATTTCCTCTTTCTCATCCTACATCATCATCATTGAAATGACAATTCAGGATCTATGCTCATAAGAGTTTGGCAAAAGATTTTATGATGGCTGCCAACCTGACACCACTCTCCCTTATCTAGGCTTGAGACCGGTGATGTAAGACAAGCTCAAACTGGTGGAGTTTTTCTCATTCTATATCACTTTACTATTTTGCTTATGGGTCAAAAACCCTGCCCTAAAGATTTTAACATATAATTGGAACTGCAAAGTGGATTTGCGGGATGGAAAACAAACCTGATGAATCTGAAAAGAAAAATCTCCAACACCAGAACTTGTTACAATTTACATTTTTATGGGCATAATGTATCAATTTATTGGTATGTTAACAAGGACACTGTTTTTCTTACACTTATCACTTCCATCTTTTTGTGTAGAGGTGTGGATGTAGATGTAAAGCGGTTACCAAAGCGCCCTGCACCACCTCGCTTTGGACGGAAGTTAACTGAAGCACAAAAGGTAAGCCTCCTTTCATTCTCATGAACTTATTGTTTTACTTTAGAGGGAAAAAATGATATGTACTTTTTATGTTGAATTATCAAATGGGGTTCTCCATTTTGCAGGCCAGAGCAACTCATATATGCCTTGATTGTGGGTATGTTTATACCTTACAGAAACCATTTGAAGAGCAGGCAAGCCTACTTATCTCCTTTGGTTTTTATATAAAGTTCACCAATTCATACATAATGACCAGATTATATTTCTAGTCTACCATGGGGGGATTCAATTGTTTCTGAACATCAAATGCAGGGATACATGATTCTTCAATTCTTCCATATTGATATTTTGACATTTGCTATGTTGTTTTGCTCAGAATTCGTATATAAGAGTTTTAGAAAACAGGGATGGTGGTTCTCAACCTATTTTGCATGCTGCCCTGGTTTTGGCTGGTCTTGACCCAATTTCTCAATTTGGGTTGTGCATGTGTTAGCTTGACCTATTTTAATAAATTTTGGTTGATTAAAATCAATATGTTAATGTTGCAAATTTATATTCTTTTTGCTGCTGTGGCAGTTGTTTTTGTTTTGAAAAACAAAATCATACATATTGGTGAACACCATCTAAGGGGGTGGTCTCCATTTTGAATGCTATCATTTTTTCTTGTTTCTAAAATATGCTGCATCAGCAAGGAGGGGGGGGGGGGAGGGTACTTGAATAAATGTTTTCTTAAAGAAAGAGAAGACTTCGGATCAAATCCAAGGATTCAGAGTACCTACTAAAAACAAGGGCTACAGTTGACAACGAGAAAAACAATTCACGGTGGAGAGTACCCACTAAATATAAGCTTATGTAGATTCCATTATATTCTTTATCTTTTTAACTTGGGTTCTTGTAAAGCTTTACTGTCTTCATCTCTTTAGTTTGAGTATATTGCACATAATATAGGAAAAACATATTTGAATCACCTTAATCAAACAACAAAGAATTTGAGTTTTGGCATTGTTAAAGTTTTAAAGTTGGTATTATATACCCATGTCCAATATCTGCTTTATCATCCCTGGTGGGGACAGTATAACCTTGTTCCACCATTTCACTCAGAGGCCTAAAATATGATTTTATAAAATTTCCCCGACTTATGGGGTGGTCAAAGTCATGTTTGATTTGAATGATGTTACTCTGCTGTATGATAAATCTGGAATATACATATTAACTTTGATTAAATACCTTCAAAATTGAAGCTTTCTTGAGAGAAGTTTATATATTTTGCAGCCGGACACATATGCATGCCCACAATGTTCAGCGCCAAAGAAGCGGTTTGCACGTTATGATGTTAATACTGGAAAACCAATTGGTGGTGGGTTGCCTCCCATTGGGGTTATAGTTGGGTTATTGGCTGGAATTGCAGCAGTTGGAGCGTTACTTGTTTATGGACTTCAATAGTGCAGTTTATTACTATTTTTTTTTTTTAATTAACTAGTGGAATGGCCCGTGCGACGTGGTATTTGATATTGATGGTGATGTTTGACTATGCTTTTACATATTGGGCATAGATGAAAGTTCATATACCGTTCAAGTCTTAAGACAATTATATAGTACATAAAAAAGACTATCCTCACAAAATGCTAAGATTTGAATTTTGTAATATGCATATAATGTTGGTTGCAAATGCCTTAGATTGAAACATTAATGCACCAAATCAATGATAAAATCGCATTCAACAACATTATATACAGATACAACTCATCCCAATGAAATACAAAATTTATGGAGAATTGGTGACGCCACTCTTAACTGATCTCTTGTATTATGATAACCTAAAACCTATGAAAATAATTACAATTAATGGTTGTAAGTAAACTAAGCTAGATGTTAATTTACTCAAATAACCATTGAATAGCAAAAGTCATTATCTAAGATGATTATTAAATAACTTATGTTTAAGCCTAAAAACATTTTTTCTTAATTTTTAAGTAAGAGAAAATAAAGAAATTAGTTGGAAGCAAAATTTATAAACCAATCACTAAAATAACATGTATGCAAACACCTTCTAGGTATGTTGAGCACCTCCACACATTTGTTTAAGAATAAAACAATCGAACAATTCATAATGCGTCACAATGTTGCATATGACTGAGGACATGAGTTGCAGGCCCTATTTAACAACCGCACACATGATAACATACATTCCCTATTTCAATCCAAGCCCACCATAGCCCAACCTTCCCGACCCATTAATTTTTAAGGGGTATAAATGGTATGAAAAATCAAGGTCTTTCAACCACACTAATTAAATCATTCTCATTTTTCATATATGGTAGTAGATATGAATATTTATTTTATTCTACATTTTTTCTTCATTTTTTTTATAATTTATGGTTTTTCTTTGTAATTTATGTTTTTTCTTCAATTTTTATGATTTTCTATATTTTTTGTAAATTTTCTTTGTGTTTCTTTGATTTTTTGTAATTTATATTATTTTCTTCATTTTATGTGTTTTTTCACAATTATTTTCAATGACAATATACAATGGAAAAAAAAAATAGAAACTTAAGGGTAAAGTTGGAAAGTTGGAAAGTAAAATACAAAAACACAGTTATTTTCAATTATTTTGTGTTTTTGACTAAACCAATTGTAACATTCTCATTTTTTCAGTATGGTATAGATATAAATTTGTAATTTAAGTTATTTTTCTTTAATTTTTATGAATTTATATATATATTTTTTGTAAATTTTGTATGTATTTCTTTGTTTTTTTTTGTAATTTATATTATTTTCTTYATTTTATGTTTTTCATAATTATTTTGCAATGACAATATATACAATGGGAAAAAAATAGAAAGTTGAGAGCAAAGTTGAAAAGTAAAATCAGGGTGTTTTAACAATATTAATTGCAACATTCTCATTTTTTTAGTATGGTATAGAAATTTTTAGGATTTTCTATATTTTGTTTTGTAAATTTTCTATGTATTTCTTTGTTTTAATGTAATTAATATTGTTTTCTTCATTTTGTGTTTTTTTCATAATAATTTTGCAATGACAATATATGCAATGAAAAATAATAGAAAGTTTTGAGGGTTAAATTGGAAAGTAAAATCAGAGTGTTTTAACCAAATCAATTGCAACATTTTCAATATATATATATATATGTATGTATAGAAATCATGAAGTAATTGGTAAAATGACTCATTTTTGTTTGATCCTTGGCTTCCTACTTTCTTATGATTATGGGTATTCCAAAATGTGAAAGTGGCAGAGTTTTCTTTAACTTCTCTAAGCCAAATGCTACACTTAGAATGTTTATGAGAATTTTAATAGTTCAACAGGAATAAGATTAACCTTATTATTTACATTATAAAAATGCGTCTTTTTGTGGGGCAAAATTGAACTGTTATGGCTCTATTTTATTTTCCTTTCTCTGGTCCAATCTTATTCTGTGTTAATGTGTTATCATTTGCAAAATGAAATTGAGAATCAGGAAAAGGTAAAATAAAAAAATTGCTGGATTACAAAAAAAGGTGAAATGGCCAATGAAAAGAAAAATGTGAACCTGGAATTATTTTTGCTGCCTTTTCCTTTGTTCAGAAATATCACAAGAAAGGGAAAATAAAAGAAAAAAGAAAAATGTGAAGTTCGTCCAGCAGCTATAAGTTCAATTTAAAATAGGGTTTACCAGGTCCTTGTTTCACTCCTACTGGTTTATTATATCGTACGGATTATTGTTATTCTTTAATTGAATCATGTTGATTGTGTTAGTATTTGTCAATTTCAAAAAAATATATTCATTTATTGGGTTGACACTTGATACGTATAGGATTCTAAGTGCGGTAGGACTGGATTGAGATTAGTTTGATGGGAAACTAATCTCAATTAGTGATAAGAATTGTTAGAGTCCTGGTCACCTCTGGATGGGGGTTATAAAAAACCACATAGTGGTTCTAGATCCATCACTATTGGCCCCATGATCCAGAGAGATCAATGAATTCAAAGAGCTGACAAAGAAAGAAGCACAATACAAGCATTCAACAACAATGATCGGATCTCAGAGTGGAATGCAAATAAGTATGTATATCTGAATCTGATTTGTTTCAAGTTCATCAATTGAATGAGTCTTAAAAGCTTGCAATTGGTATCAGAGCCATACTCATTAGTTGATGAGCGGTTTGATTGGAGTTCCATTGCATCTTAATTTTAGTGAAATTTCGTTATGTATCTATTTGATACATCTGAACCGAGAATTGTTGAAAGCAATTAGTATGATAAGGCTGTTGTTAATTTAACACCGCTTCGTCTCCGTTGCGTCCATCATGTTTTTTAATCTTTTAAGTCTTGCGTTGTTTGGCTTGACGTGCAAACCTCTTAACTAATGGGTTGTTTGTTTTTTTCTTTTCATTTGGTTGGAAGAGATTAGGTTGTTTGGGATTTAAGTCGATTACTCTTCCTCATAATTTACAATCACTATAAATATAATGATTAATGATCATCAATTTTTGTCTTTTTTAACCATTTAATTTATTAATTAATTTATTTTTTGATACTGTTATAAAAGGGTTTCTCTAGCCGAAAATACAAGGCTTAACCATGGGACCAAACCTTGAACTTACTGCTGTCTAGAATAGTGTATCAAAGGCTGCTGGTTGCCGATGATACCTTTGGTATTGTAAGCATTCCATGCTTACTATTTCAATGGTTTTGAATGTGTACCCTTTGATCTCAGTGTTGTATATGGCCTTGAATTTGATTTTGTCAAGCCCGTTCAATTAGACCTGACTACCTCTTTTTCCTATCTTAATTATTTGAATTCCTATGTGAACCCATATTGGTTTAGGACTGACAATTGTTTGTTGAATGTTTTTCTTTTTTGAATTTGACGATGTTTTGTTCTTTTATAGATTTCCATATTTTATTTCTTTTGTTGGTTTTGAACTTTATTGCCTCCTTAAGTTCAAGATGAATTATTTGATGCATTTGTTGATATTGTATTTCTGTTTTATATGCTTAGAGGAAAAGGTATACGTTTAGGCTGCATTATTGRTTGAAACTTGGGGACATTTAGTAAATGGATGGTGCCAAAGTACCTTATGTTTACGACATGATAACCAAGCGTTCAATCCTTATTTGTTATTTTAAGAACCTTAATGTAGGTTGTGATTACCATTCTTTATTCTTGTTATGGTTAGCCCAAAGGCAACACCTAATATTGTGATAAAGATGGAATGACACAAGGGAGGAAAGTATATGGTGTGTAAGTGAACTTCTTAACCCTAAAGGAGTAAGAGGAAATCATATACATTCATATATAGAACTTGCCTTGTTTGAGCAATATTTATTCATTGAAAATGATGACGTGGCTATTTATCTCAGCCCAAAGGAGGGGGTAGATAAGCCATAGACATCTAGATGTGATGCATGATGTATGGACTTTAGATATAAATATACTCCATTGACATCATGATTGCTTAGTTTTTTTGAAATAATGATTAGTTTGATGGTTTAAAATTATAGTTGATGTGAACACTTTTGCTGGACCTAATCAGCCTTACCCTATTGAGCTTCTCACCAATAATAACTATAAGAGATGGAGAGGCCAATTGGAATCCTACTTAGGAATTCGAGAAATAGACTTTTGTCTCACCCAACTTGAACCATCTGAGCCTGCTCCTAATGCTTCTAAGGCACTTAGAACAAGATACACCACTTGGCACAAAGCAAATAAACTAGTACTCTTGATAGTTCAGAACACTATCTCTGAACCTCTTAAACCCGGGATTCTCATTTTCAACATTGCCATAAATACACTTGACAACATAGAGGCACAGCTTGCTGGATCAACCAAAGCCCTCACAATGAGCTTGTTCACACAATTCTTCACTATTAATTTTGAGCCTGGAATGAATGTTAGAGAGTTCATCTCTAAGATGCCAGGAATTGTTTATCAACTTAGAGATTTGAAGATGAAATTAAGTGATGAATTTTTTGTGTATGCTGTCATGTCAAAGTTACCAAAATCCGTTGAGACCTTTGTGGTGAACTTTAATACAAGTGTAGCAAAATGGACTGTCAATGAGATGATAAATCAATGTGTTCTAGAAGAAGAAAGGAAGAAAAGACAAAAAATAGAATCTGCTCATTTCACTTCCTTGGGTCCTAAAAGGAAACCCTTCAAGAAAGGTCCAAAGAAGGACAATGAGGGAAAGAAGAAATATAAGAAGGGTAAAAATGTGTCACCCACCAAACAACCTGAATCGAATCCGACTGCCATTGAGCCAACCACCAGTGTGGATAAGGTGATATGTTACTATTGCAAAATGCCTGGACATTTCATAAGCGATTGTCAAAAGTTGAAACAGAAGAAAAAGAAACAAGGTATTTCTTATGTAATCTCTGAAGTAAAATTTTTAGACACCCCATCTGATGTCTGGGTTGTTGACTCTGGTTGTACGGTTCATGTTGCTAATTGTGTATAGGGGTTCCAGAATCTAAGAAGAATTGATGATGGAGAGGAGATACTAATATATATAGGAGATGCACATAAAGTGAAGGAAACTGGCATAGGAACCTTTAGATTAGTCTTAGATACAAGATATG